GCAGTGATATGTGGCCGTCAAGCTACTGCCAGTTAGAGACACAAACTGGCATGATAGTTGTCATCACTGTCGGTTCGGTCACATCCCAAATCAATTCCTGGTTTTCAGAGCCAATAATCGACAGTGAAGGGTCAACACTGCCGGTTCTCCTAATTCCGACAGTGATAAGGCCATTAGTGGAGTGCTATTCTGTAGTAGTGATAGGTCGATCTTTAGATGTTTCGGGCTCCGTTGCAACGCACGGGCACGTTTGCTAGCAAATTATAACAACTCATATCAGCGTCAACACCTATACGTATTGGGTCCCGTTGCAACGTACGCGCATATTTGCTAGTGTGTGTATATATGTATATATATATATATATATATATATATATATATATATATATATATATAAAGGAGACGAGCAGTTGAGCACAACTCAACTCAACGAACCGTTACTTGGGCCCTGGCTTTGTGGGCTGTGATTTTGGGCTGCCACATCATATGAGGTTTGGTTAGATATTCCTGTCGTAGCCCGGTGTTGTCGAACGCAACGCAGTGAGCTCAACCCGCAAATAGAAGCAACGAACGGCACATGGTCAGGCCCGAGATGAAATGAGCTCTTCTTGGGCCTGGCCCACGTCAGGCCTACTCTCTGGTTTCAATTTTTCTTTTGCCCGCTTGGCCAAATGGCATAGATATATGTGCCCTTTATTAATTTGGACGAGCTCCTTTAATGGATTAAAAACAATTCTGGCGAGGATATATGAAAAAAGAACAGGTTATAGTTGTATGAGTGGCCAAATCCAGTTTTAGTACTGTACGGTGAAGGCAAATCGACGCATGCCATGTGGTACAAATGATGATTTCTCCCAAAAATGAGATAGAAACAGGGAGACGTTTCTCATGGTCCTGAACTCGGCAAGCCGGTAACGAACTCCGTGTGTACCACCAAATCCTGACAAAAAAAACCCAGTCAAAATCCTCCGTCAAATTCAAGATCATTTCATCATTGTGCAATGCAAGAGAGCTTGGTAGTCGCTTTAAAGATATAACGCCAGGCATCGTATATATCCTCCTCGAGAGGGAATTGCATATATATAATAATAAGATCCTTAGAATACTAGGCTCATGGCTAGTGGCAAGTTGTATTTAACTGCAGATGGTGATGAGTGAGACGGTGACACATGTATAGATGATTCTACCTAGCATTACCTGATTCCTAACTTGGGCACAATCATCAACCCTAAACCCATGGGATCCTAGGTTTTGACGTCGTGTGTGTCTCATATTAATGTGACTATTTACTTACATAGCAGGTTACGTGTGATAGAGAAATATTTTTAGTAAACTATTATTACAGAACCATGTTGCCTTCTTCCCTAAATAAATCAATTTCTAGAGTCGTCTTAACTCAAACATTTTTATGTTTGACCGAATTTATAGAAAGAATATAAATATTTATGATACCAAATGAACACTATATGAAACATATAGTTTATGATGTATCTAATAATACTAATTTGGTTTAGTAAGTTTTGATGTTTATTTATAAATTCAGTTAAACTTAAAAGATTTGACTTAAAATAACTCTAGAAATTAATGTATTCAAGGCAGAGGAAATATGTAACAGTAGTGATTGAACTTTCTATGATTTATATAGTTGCAAACAGGTCTTAAAGTGGGGCCCTAGCCAATCAATAGAAGTAAATGCTACGCGGGGGGCAGGGGGCAAGCAAGAAGCATGGACCACGAAACCAAGGAGAGACCAAGGTTTGAGAGATAAAAGATGACATTAGAGCAAGTATAATAATGGGCTTAGAGCATCTCCAAAAGACTCTTTATATCTTTGCTAAGTTAGGGCATCTCTAAGAGATTAGCCAAATTTACTGATTTAGCTACTCTCTAAAATAGATTTGACAAAAAAAATACTAGAGTACTCCGACAGACTCTGTAAAGCCAAGAGGCTGGATCGCTAGTGAGGTAGGCTATCCAAAAGTAGAGAGCAAATGAGGTGGGATGGAGAGCTACTAAATTGAAGAGCCATTTACAGAGTTTGTTGGAGACGTTTTTCCTTTAATAATAGACAAATTTATCTTTAGAAAACGATTTGGCTAATCTCTTGGAGATGCTCTTATAGGAATAGAGATTTTAGGGGAAAATAACCTCCAACAGCCTCTTCAATTGGATATCCAAATATAGACATCTTCCATTTCGGATTTGTCGTTAGCAGAAGATGGAGAGCGAGGATGGCTCACTTGACTACGCACAAGATATAGAAAAGCTGTTGGAGAGTACAAAGATGTAGAAAACGATTTTTACTCAGATGACTCTCTAAATGATGATTTAGATAGTTGATTTTAGAAAGACTCTTAAAGATGCTCTTATTGCCAAGCAAATACTGATATGGAGGAGATAAGAGAGGAGAGTTTCGCTCACATGCAAGTAACAAGCTGGGCATGTGAGCCTATGTAGTGGTGGGTCCAAACATCAAGTGAATGTGAGGAGGATTAGGAAAGAGAAGATGGAACATAGATAAAAATAACAACAACAAAAATTTCTTATAGACAAATAAGAGACAACTATTATATAACTTGACTTTATACCTTGGTTAATAGCCAAACACTCGACTACTTGAGCCTGTTATTGGGCTTGCTCTAGTGAGTGCTATTAATTTTTTTCTACATCCATATACATACTGGGTTTATAGATGTACTTAGGCCGGGATAAGATATGCAGCATGTGAGAGGGCTTGCATCTTTGTTGTGTTGTTTAAGAGAGAGAGAAAGAAATAGTGAAGCATGTACTCATTATAATATATAAATATCAATTTATCATTGTATATATCTCATCATAATAAATATCAATTTATCATTGTATATATCTCATCATAATATATAAATATCAATATATCATTGTCTATATTAAATCAAAGAGGAATGCGACTACGTACAGGACTACTGACAGATGTGGACCGCCGAACCGATTGAGGGTGGCATCAGTGAAAAGCGATAGAGAAATACAAATACGACAGTAGACTCTCTCTCTTTTGAGTGGAAGAGAGATTTTGATCCCTCGCTTCGCTGAAAAAACAAATCAAAACATTAACATTATTTCAGCTGATTTGTTATGAGAGAAAAATACAGTTTCGATTGAATAAATAAATAAAAAAATACAGATTATAAGACAAGTGAATAAGGCCAAAGGTAGGTTGTGGGCCCAGAAAAGTCCAATCATGGACTGAGGCATCGATGGCTGCTGTAGACGATTCCACGTGTAGTAACCATCATGTATGTGTTCTACTAATCCTCCCTAGTGTAGCTAGAAAAACAAACTTGGAAAAATTGTACATATGTAATCCTCTTATAATATTGTTATTACAGTCGTATATACAGGGAACAGAAGAACATTTTGTAGATGTAGACGGATAGAATGATCCACAAACCCATGGTTGGATGCGCATGTGTGTAGATATCTACGCTTGGAAATGAAAACTCGTGTGTGTTTCGACGACGGGCCGATGCAAGTGCGCAGAGATATATACGGCCGGCTGTCTTGCAGTCACTGTCGAGTGTTTGGCAGTATTCATCGATGCTATCCTATCCCTGTCCACCATATATATATATAACTTGTCTTTCTTAATAAAATAAATATGTATGAACCTGCAGATGGTGACACATGCACATCAGTCTCTCTCTCTCTCGTTCAGCTTTTCTTTAACAATTTTTTTTAACAGAACTGCCCAATTCAACTTAGCATTACTCGACTAGAAGCAATAGAGAAACTGAGAGAAGAGAGAGAGAGATAGAGAGCACTTTTATTAAGTTGTGCTTTTTATAAAAACAGGGTTTTTCTAAAAAAAAAAAGCTTTTACTAAGCTGCTGCTACTAGTATTAAAGCGGAGCGGACGGAGGCCAGAAAAATTGTTTGATGTGTGAACCGCGCGCATGTTTTGGGGCCGGATTATATTATCGCAAAACATAAGATACCTTCGATATATTTAGAATTAGGGCTTAAGTTTGTTTTGTGTTAATTTTTTCTGATTGCCTTAAACTGTTGGATTACAATAAATTCGCCTGACTCCTCTTTATTATGGATGAAGCCGGATATTTTTTTTCTGTTTTCCATTGAAAAAAAAAGAGATACCGTAAGTGCTGTTAACTATTTTGTGTTTTTATTTCAAAAATATAAATTATATTTCGACATCTGCGAGAGCAGCTTTCGTGTCAATTATTACAGCTCTTAGGCTCTGGCTGATTAACAATTCAGGAAAACAACTCTGGCTATATATAATTAAAAGTCCAACTCAACTGCGTACAGTATTAGAGAAGCCAGCGATTCATTCATTATTGATGAAGATCTCTAGTGCCACCGTCGCCACAAATTAACCTACAGTGCTATACTAACCCTATTCGATCCGTAGGAAAACAACAACTTCGTACGTTCAAAATTATAAGTCGTTTTGATTTTTTTTTATATCAAAATTGCTATATATCTAAACATAAAATTGGTTTATATTCATAGCAAATTTGATATACCAAAAACATCAAAACAACTTATAATTTGGAACAGAGAGAGTGCGTAGTTAGGAAATTAAGTCCTGCATTTGTGAACAGAGTTGTCGTACGCACTATGGGGAACAGTAGACGACGGCATAGAATTGAACAGGTCAATTTAGGACTCGGCGTGTACAGGTGATTTGTAATTTGTATATATACCATGTACAGTTGAGTACGTAATACTCCCTCCGTCTCAAGATATCAGGCACGATTTGACTTCAAGATCATAATTTAACCGTTAATTTATACTATTATATCTAATTTATGTCAACAACAAAAGTATCATTAGGATAGTTCCAATAAAACATTAATGATAGTTTCTAAGAAAATAAGAGGAAAGAGAAACCGAGTCTTCCCTCGCAACGAGGCAGCAAGAAACGATGATTTCGGAGTTGGGAGGAAACCGGCAGTTTCAACGCACGTGGGGTCCGCGATGGGACATCGTCGTGCGGCTCCTCCATGTGCGCCCGTCTGTGCTCGCTCGCCGGCTGCCGCGGCTGCTCGCCCGCGTCGCCGCGCCCGCCGACCGTCGCGTGCCCTCGCCCACCGGCTGCCGCAGTTGCTCGCTCGCAGGTCGGACGCCGCGCGCTCGCTCGCCGGCTGCCGCGGCTGCCCGCCCGCGTCGCTGCGCTGGCCCGCCGGCCGTCGCGCCCGCGTGCGCTCGCTCACAGGCCGGACGCCGCGTGCCCTCGCCAGCCGGACGCCGCGAGTGCTGGCCCGCCGTGCTCGCGTGAGCTCGCTCGCCGGCTACCGCGGCTGATCGCCCGCGTCGCCGCGCTGGCCCGCCGCGCTCGCTCGCCGGTTACCGCGGCTGCTCGCCCGCGTCTCCGCGCTCGCTTCCCGGCAGCTCGCCAGCGTCGCTGCGCTGGCCCGCCGGACGCCGCGTGCCCTCGCCCGCCGGATGACGACGCACGCGACTACGCGCACGGCGGGTGGAGGCCGGCCGAGGCCCATCTGCCGTCCGCCTTGGGCGTGCGCGACACTGCTGTTCGGCAGAGGCCGGGCTCCTCGATGATGACGGGCGCAATCACGCGGCCCTCCATGGTGAGGTGGAGGCTGGCCGAGGCTCCTCAGCTCTGCGGTCGTCGTCCATGCATGCTCCTGCATGGTGAGCACGAGCTCACGCCTGGTGGCTAGGAGGAAGACGATGGACTTAAGAGAGAAAGAAAAGAAAAAAGAAAATCAACATTTATTAGACAAAGAAACCTGCACTGTGTGATGTAGTTTTCATATAGTTGGTTTCTGGTTGACGTGGCCGCCATAAAACTATGTGTAGTTTCTATTATTAGGTGTGTATAAATCTAATGTTACCACTGTTGTACTATAATTTTTATATTATTAAGTTAATTATTGATCAAATATAACAAAGTTTAAATTTTGAAATATGTGAATGCCTAGTATCCGGGCGCAGTACCCGTGAGTACTCGCTTTGTGTTGTGTTGGGTACATTACATAGATCCTGTTCGTTTCTCTTATAATCTGTCTTTTTAGTTTATTTTTTAGTCGGAACAGTGTTTTATCTCACGATAAATCAGCCGAAACAATATTTCGATTTATTTTTTTAGCGAAACGAACGGAGCCGTATAGTGCGAGTACACGTGGAAAGCAATGGGCGTGTTTGACGACAACCGGCCGTCCGAGGCTGCGAGCCATCACCAACCCATACAAGTGCATGCATGTAGTTTGTACCGTACTAGCATGGTTTCGTTTTCTTTTCTTTTTTTTAAATAAAAAGGTAATAATAACAAATGCTCGTGCGCTGTGTACGTATTCTTCCGTCGTGGAACGAGTAACACACCACCTTTTGTTAACCAATCTCTGCCGCCTGCCGGTAATTGGTCCGCCGTGGCTGGATTTGAACCCAGAGTCGTATACAAACGAGAAAATTGAATCTTTGACACCTAATCTGTGCGCATGTGAACATTTGATATCTAATTCGTACGTCGTTGAAAATTTAACACTGGCTGCGAATTCGTTGAAAACAGGTGTTTTCTCCTCCTTTTCTCCAATTAACATTTTTTTCTTTTTTCTTTTGCTTTCCAAGGCAACGTTGAACGACCAAAGTACCGTTGGCCTTATCCATCCATTTCTTCTAAGAAACGAACGCATCTCTCTCTCCCGTACTCATTTTTCTTCGGCTCTGTTCGTCACGCCGCCGCCGCTCTTCTTTGTTCTTCACGCCGCCACCGCTGGGTGCAGGAGGAGGCGCTGCCGCTGGCTGGGCGCGCGTGGGGCCAGGCTGGACGCGGGGCCGGTCGCCGGTGCTGGACGAGTCGGCCATGCGTGTGCGCGGACGGTCGCCGATGCTGGGCGCCGGCACTAGGCCAGTGCCCGCCGTCTTTGGCTCCGCCGCTGATGGAGGCCGTCAGAGCAGGCCAGAGGCGCCTCAATGGTCGAGCAACAGCAGGCGGTAAGGAGGAGCCCGACTATATAAGTTCAAGATGTGATTTTTTTTGTCTGAACTTGTTGGTAACTCGAACGGGATCATAGCCGACCTGATCTGGCCACCCAAAGCTCCACCTGCAGTCCGGGGACCAAACCCTAACATCTTCTGTTCACTCGTGAGAGAGAGAGAGAGAGGAGGCAACGAGAGAAAGAAACATGAGAGAGTGAGGGGGAAGGAATGCAATGCTTCTGATCCAGCAAATACATTCCATAAAGAGATAAGGCTAATGGGTACTTTGGTTATTCAACCTTGCCTTGGAAAGCAAAAGAAAAAAGAAAAAAATGTTAAATGGAGAAAAGGAGGAGAAAACACCTGTTTTCAATAAATTCGCAGCCAGAGTGTCAAATTTTCAACGACGCGCGAATTGGATGTCAAATGTTCACATGCGCCCAGATTGGGTGTCAAATATTCAATTTTCTCGTATACAAACGTCCCATTAGGGCCATGTATATGTATTTGGCTTAGACCTAGTAGTTTGGTAAGGTTTATCCGATTTTGGTTTCTTAACGGGCTAGTGTAGCGACATTGTAGGAGCCAACGTGAGGCTTTTTTTTACCGACTTCGGATCTTGGGTTTTTACCATCGGTGCTACCATAGCAATGATGCCGTAGTCCTAGGAATCATGCTAAAAAGACCATTGCTAATTTGGTACTCCCTCCGTCCCCGAATATAATGCATGTATGTATTTCAGAATTCAAACTTAGTTATCTTTGACCAACAATTAGCCTAATTATATCAAAAGATTGTATTACAAAGTAGTATTGGCTAGAGGGGGCCACCTGTAATCTCACCCTAAGATTTTTAATACATATGACCACTGCTCTAAGCATTCGTAGCTCTTCGAAGTGAGAGATATCATCATCACAGTAAACTTGCCCCTTTAGGTCTTTCAACCTCCATTTATTTGCTAGAGATTGAAATCTAGTAGAGACAAATAACCTAGATGCATGGATGTCCGGAGCCCATTACTGGATCTTTAAGGTGTATATGTTGGGGATCTAGAATAACGGAGAAACATTTGAATCTAGATCTTTCTTGAAACAATCGTAAGCTCAAATAGAATCACCCACCAAGAGCGTTTTGGCGCTCTGTCTGGAAAAAAAAAACAGAAAACATGGTGGAGTAGTCAAATATGCCCTTGACATGTGATGTTTCTGTTGCCGAGCAATAACAATGTAAATTGGTGAAATAAAAGTATCAAAAACCTTGCCAAAAGTCTACCAACCAAACCTCTTTCCTAACCGGTTTGATCCGCAAAAGGATATCGATGGCATTTGTTTTCACTAGTGGATGGCTCTCTGCAGTCAGCTGATGCTGGTAGTCGGTTGCTTCATTAGGAGTTCGTGTGGTCGCTTTCCTCTAACAACATGTCACAGCGAGTGGAGTCTCTACCTGCACATATGTTCTCAAGTAGTGGCGACAGTTCGGCTTGTATCCCTGTCAATGGTGAGTTACAGGGAAATATATATTTAAATATTTATATAAGAATTGGGATCCCTACCAAAATCCAAGAGCTTGTCGACAGTTACATGTGTCTAGTATAGTAGAAGTCAAGGAACGACACTTCTCTGCAATAAGTGGGGTGGGGGGTGTGGTGGTCGTGGTTGGGGTTGGGGTTGGGGGGGTGGTGCTTGGATTCAACAATATAGAAATGAGAATCAATGCAAAACTAGCCTGTGCCTAGCTATGCAGAAACATCCGAAAAACTACGACATAAAACTGTATATGTAGCATCGTTCCTGCCAATTCTATTGAGAAAGCGAAACGGATGAATGAAGCCACCAAACACACCCACAATTTTCATAAGGCTAGGTTTGGATGAATCGATCCTACATTTTTTCTCTCTCTGTCGTGAAGTCCTACAGATTTTCACAAAATGAAGTTCCCGTCAAATTTCAGTCTTCGGAATAGGGTCTCTCTTAAGAGCTGAGGAGACAGCGTGGTAACATGGGTCTAGTTTAGTGGTGGAATTAGCTAGCAGAGTCCCTTATATTAACCTTTAAGTTCTTGCACCATCACCATCTGGGCAAACTTCTCTCCTAATCCGGACAGCAACCGGATTCTGGTAAAACATGCAAAGAGACGCAAAGACGGAAGGAAACAAAAGTCAGGACGGGCGGCCGGCGTTGTGTCCGCGTCAACGCTGAGGTCAGCACACGGACACGGACTTGGACTTGACCCATTCAACCACACAAACGCACGCCATTATTATTATTATTATTATTGCTCCCTCCTCGAGCCTTCTTCCTCCGGCCAGCCAGAGCCGAGGCGAGAAATTCCCCAATCCCCAATCCCCACGCCACCGCCTCCCCATCTCCTCCAATCCAACAGTCTCCGATCACCAAACCCCAGCAATCCCCCGCAGCCATGGAGTGCGAGCCGGAGGAGCTGCAGTTCCTGGGCGTGGTGGGCATCTACCGCTTCTCCGCGGAGATCCTCCGGGGCCCACACCGCCCGCTGTTCGCGCGCATCGCGGCGGCGTTCGTGCTCCCGCTCTCCGCGCTCTTCCTCCTCCACATCGCCATCTCGCACGCGCTCTTCACCCACATCGACACCGACGACACGGCGCTCGACAACTCCTCCCCGGGCACCGACACGCAGCGCCGCCTGCTGTCCCGCCTCGCCTCCGACTGGCTGGCCCTGCTCCTCTTCAAGTCCGCCTACCTCCTCGCGCTGCTCCTCCTCTCGCTCCTCTCCGTCGCCGCCTCCGTCTTCTCCGTCGCCTCCGTCTACTCCGCCAAGCGCGACGCGCTCACCTTCCCGCGCGTGCTCTCCGTCGTGCCACGCGTCTGGCGGAGGCTCGCCGCCACGTTCCTCGCCGCCTTCGCGCTCCTCGTCGCCTACCACGCCGTCGCCGCCCTCCTCTTCGTCGGCCTCCTCGTCGCCGCCGACAACAGCAACGGGTCCGGGGGAGGCCTCGCGGGCTTGCTCGCGTTCCTCGTCGCCGTCGCCTACCTCGTCGGCCTCGTCTACCTCAGCGTGGTGTGGCACCTCGCCAGCGTCGTCTCCGTGCTCGAGGACTACAAGGGCTTCGCCGCCATGCGCAAGAGCAAGGACCTCATTAAAGGGAAGCTCGTCACCGCCGGGGTCATCTTCTTCACGCTCAACCTCGTCTTCGCCGTCGTCGAGCTCGGGTTCCGCGCCTGGGTCGTCAGGGGATCCGGAGCGGGCTCCAGGCTCTTGCTTGGCCTCCTCATGCTCGCCGCGCTCTGCTGCGTCGTCATGTTCGCGCTCGTCTCCCAGACCGTCGTCTACCTCGTCTGCAAGAGCTACCACCACGAGAGCCTCGACAAGGCCAACATCTCCGACCACCTCGAGGTCTACCTCGGCGACTACGTCCCCCTCAAGGCCTCCGACGTGCAGATGGAGCAGTACCAGGTCTGAATCGCATGATGGCTTCTTCCTCCTCTGCTTTTTCTTTTTCACTGCCTGCAAGTGCAAATCCATTCCATCCTCTGCTTTGCTGCTGGATTTGTTACCAATCCATCCATCCTCTGTACTAGTATTACCATCCGCAGGCAGTCAGGATTGGGAATCTGTAATTTACATACGAACAGACATGTCATGAACATACTTTAGCCTTAGAGAATTGGGAATTTGGGTTGGGGACAAGAATAATTGGAATCTGTACTTTGTAAGGGCAGGGTTGACGATGTAGGATTTGCTCCTCCTTTTAAATTGTGGCTGGCAAAAGGAAGAATGGACATATTATGAATTATTATGAAATGAGGGTAGGTTAATTTCTTTCTCAGGGACAGGGTTCCTTTCCTGATTTAGCCCGGCTGCCCGTGATACAAAGATGAATGATATACTGAATTTACAAACTTACGAGCAGCGAATGGATGATGCTTATTGATCACTGTATATATTATCAGTTATGGAGATCTAGAACTAAAGGATGAGAATAAGCTTATTGCTTTTACTAATCAATATGCCTTATTCTGATTAATGCCTGATTGCTCTGGCCGTTCAGTCAGTTGTGTCTATATCATATTTACCATTTCAACATTTTCTGTCACTGCAATTAGCAAAGGTGTGGCTGTGCTTCTCCAAACAATCTGTGATTCAGAATGAACTGGGCGGTCTATGACAGCCACAACTACTTTAGTCTGCTCTAACAATTACTTTTTTTTTTGAAACGAACCGCTATATTAATCAGCCTGTTCGGCTGGGGTGAAACGATCGTAAATTTCCAGCCGGAATAGTATTTTTCTCTCACACAAACCAACCAGCGTACTTCTTCACGAACCAGCAACGAACCAGTCCAGCCAAACGAACATGCTGATTAAAAAGAGCTCTAACAATTACTGCTAGTGCTACAATTGGCTGTTCTTAGTCTGCATGTCTCAATCGGCTGTGATGTCGATTACTCCCATTTTTGATTACTCCCTTCGTTTTTTTTATTTGTTCCAAGTTAAACATTTCTATCTTTGTTCGTCCATTTTGAAAATTTATAAAGGTTAACAACATAAGTTTTATGTTTTATATTCATTATGAGAACTATATATTATGAGAGTATTTCTCTAATGAATCTAAAAACATTTTTTAAGACGAATTTTATATAAAAAGACTAATATTTGTGCATAAAATTAGTACGGTTAGTTAGAATATGAAATATATTTTTGTACTGTACTTTTTTGGGTCAGATGTTAGTACCAGTTTATTTAAAATTGGACAAACTAAGTTTGACTTTGGACATTCATGACGGAGGCAGTATTAGGCTCTTCTTTTTAAAAAAGATTCTCTATTACCAAGCTTTTTTTTTTGTAATAAAATGTAAAGGAAAAACGTATTCTATGGCAATTCCCGTGCTCCCGACTTCCAGATGGAGCAATTCCAGGTGCGGCGAATTCCCGAATCCCGATTCCATGCCATTTCCCCTGTTTCCTCTGTTTTTTTCGGCAGGCAGCCTTGGATTCTGTAACGTAATTTTACACACACGCCAACATCCAAGTGTCATGAATATACTACTGTAGTCCCTTTTAGAGAGTTGTGAATTGAGATTTTCAGCAATGTTCGCTTGTTGGTTTCAGCCAGGGCTTATTAGCCAGCCAACAGTGTTTTTCTCTCATAACAAATCAGCACCACTCAGGCTTATCAGCCTAGAAACCAACCAGCGAACATGCCGTTTGGATGATGGTATTATTAGTTAGGGGACATTTGTGGCGAGACCGGGTTAATCAAGACACATCAATAGTTCAACGAGATATTTCTTTGGTGAAATAGTTCAATGAGGTAACGGCTCGTGTGGCCGTCCAGGGACAGACGGACGCGGCTTCCCCACTGGTTACCTTATCCGTACGCTCGCTCCTGTCGCACCCCTTAAAAAAAAACGGCCTCCACCGTCGCGGCCTTATCCATTGTTCCATCAGACCTCTGCGTCTGACTCCACCGCGCCGCCCACCTTCCCCACTCCGCGCTCCACCGTGCTGCTTGTTTGCACCACGGCATTCGCCGCTGCCTCCGCTACCCGCTTAGCCGCCGAGCAGTTGCTCGCCAAGGGTGCGCTGGCCCAGGCCGCCGAGCAGGTGCTCTCCCAGGAATGCTCGCCCAAGGTGCTCACCTAGGCCTCCAAGCAGGTGCTCGCCTAGGCCGCCAAGCAGGTCCTCGCCTAGTGGCGCACCAGCAAGCTCCATACGCCATTGCCAACCTCCGCACCGGCGCCGAGCTCCGCGATTCGTCCAAGCAGCAAGGGGACATTGCACGTTGAAAACACATGTTGCAAGAGTATGTTTTAAGTGTTTCAGATGTTTTCATCTGGATGTTGCATCTGTTTCATGTGGATGTTACAAAAGTATATCGGGATGTTGCATATGTTGCAATAGTTGTACACTTACGTTGCAAGATTTTGTCCCTAATGTTTCAGCTGTTTTTCTAGATGTATGTTGCAAGTGTGTTTATTCGGATGTATCATATGTTTCACACATATGCTGCAAGTGTTTTATCTGGTATGTTTTACATGGGTTTCAAGTGTTTTCCAGGTGTTTTTGCAAGTATTTCAGATGCATGTTTCAAGTGTTTCATTTGCCTTAAGATATATGTTGCAAGTGTTGCATCTGGATGTTTTAAAAGTAGATCGGATGTTGCATCTCGCTCCCTCCTCGCCTTGGACTGTCTCGCCTCGGTGTCTCCACCTTCTCTCAGCGTTGGCTGGGCATCCGATCTAGAGGCACAGGGGGCGTTGACCCCTCCCCTTATTCTCGATGCTGGCATCGCAGCATGGGATGGCAGTGCGGCGAGGGACGGGCTGTCGCGAGTGGCACGGGCGGGCGCTCCTTATGTTCCGTGGTTCCGTTATGCTGGCGGGCAGGCGTTCCTTCTGTTACGCTATTCCGTGGTTCCATAGCTGAAATCGGATAACTCCTCTGGCAAGTATTGAACGGATCGTAGCTGCGTCCTGACGGGTCCTAGGGTCGGACGTCCGGCCGCTACACATCCCGATGAGGTAACCCAAAAGTAAATAACACTAATCCTAACACACTTCGATCCACGTCTGTGAACTGAGGATATGGCCAATCAACAAACTGAGAACTAAGATAACTACAAAAGACGTGAAACAAGAACAACAACCACACTCCGAGCTCGGACTGAGACCTGGCCCGCGCTCTTTCCTTCCCACCACCCCGTCGTGAAATATCCTGCCTACTTACATGGCGAAACCGACTGTGAAGTAGGCCCCGTGGTTAGCGTCGGTTCGTAGTTTGATCTGGCTGACAAGAGGACTCTGTCTGTAAATTTGTGCACTAAGTAGACGTGAACACATCCAGGATCCAGCGCAATGGATAAGACTACATATACGAACATAAGAGTCCGACGATGCACACATTCAATTAAGAGTTCAAGCATAATTAACTTGTCATACATAGGGATGCAGATGCACTGCTGCATAATGTCACTACATATAAACTTGATAAACATAAAAAACTCAACGTCCTAGAAATGTGGGATACATCGGACATTGCTCAGGAACTCAATGGCATGATGCGGGCTAAATTGCCTGAGGAAGCGAACCGCACTGAGAATTACACAATTTCCTTCCACGTCGACACTTTTCCTAGAAAGTGTAGACGGTTGTTGTCGAAAGCTGCAAAGCATAAAATTTCTCCACAAACATGGTCTTCAAATATTCTGGTAGAACTTTATGCCCGAGAAGGTCACGAACAACCAGTGCAACAATCAACCCTCACTCCTGGTGCACACAATGGCCCCAAGTAACAAACAACAAATGCTGAGGTCCTTGTACCACCCCAAGCTTCCAAATGACAATGTTGGTCGCATGGAAAATGCTCTTTCCATGGTAAGAATGAACATATTATGAATGAATTATTATGAAATGAGGTAGGTTAATTTCTTTCTCAGGGACAGGGTTCCTTTCCTTATTTTGCCCGGCCGCCCATGATACAAAGATGAAAGGATATACTGAATTTACAAACTTACTAGTATCAGCGAATGGATGATGTTTTTTGATTATTATATATTATCAGCTATGCGAGATCTGGAACTGAGGAGTTCACTTATCAATATGCCTTATTCCGATGAATGCCTAATTGCTCTGCCAGTAGAGCAGTTGTGTCTATGATATTTACCATTTCAACATTTTCTGCCACTGCTGTGCTAGGACTGCAATTAACAACGGTGTGGCTGTGCTTCTCCAAACAATCTGTTATTCAGAATGAACTGGGCGGTCCATGACAGCCACATATACCTTAGTCTGCTCTAACAATTACTGATAGCGCTACAATTGGCTGTCCTACTCTACTCTCTATATGTGTCTCAATCGGCTGTGCTGTCGATTGCTCCCTCAGTTTTTTTATTTGTCCTAAGTTAAACATTTCTATTTTTGACCATCAATTTTTAAATTTTTTTGTATTGGCAATAGAAAGCCACCGAGACCTACAAGGTGTAGGTCTCGGTGGCTTTCTATTGCCGGCCGGTTCTTTTGTCCCTGCAGGAGTTTTCCAGCGACGGTGGAGGTGTCCAAGTCTTCTCCGGAGATGGTTCTGTGGGATTTGTCTTTTCCCTCCTCGAGAAATCGGGTTGGTTGCTTTCCCCTAGGGTTGCTTTGTCGCTAGGTGTTTCGGGGTCACCGGTGGTGCTTGTGGCTCCCGTACTCTTGGCGAGGATATGGCCGCTGGCCATCATTTGCTCTGGTGTTCAGCGTTTAAGGTGCACATCTTGTTATGTGCCGATTGATGTAGCTTCAAAACCGTATGTTGCTTCGTTGGAAGCTTCTTCGTTGAGGTGGGATTCGGCTTCAAGTTGCAAGCTCGGCGTTCGTTTCAACGTCGAGTGGTGGCTCCGTTCTCTAGCGACGAAGATGACCGGGAGATCTTTGCAAGGGCCAGAATGTAATTTTTATTTTATTCAGGGGTGTCTTTGTAAGG